GGAAAGAGGGTAGGTCAAACTGGTCAAAATTCAACAATGCCTTAGTACATACAGTGTTATTCATATTATTTTGCTGTAGTCTTTTCAGCTCATCCCAGCAGTGCAAGTTCAGTTTTGTAAATAGATCCTGCCATAGATGTTGTTTGCAAGAGGGCTTCTGGAAAATGCACTCTCAGGAATAAATATAATTAGGGGAAAAAAGAATATAAAAAGGCTTTTTTTTTTTCTTACAAAACAGTTTCACTGATCGATCTCAAAGTGCTTTGAGAGGGCAAAGTCTTCTGAGACTATCTGGAGAAACTAAGGCATGGGATGATCATTCATTTAGTAAATATTAAAGTACATCTTAGTGCTAAAGAGGATAAGAGAAATGCTGATTTTCTCGTGAAAAGCATCACTTTTGTCTCATTTACTCGGCATAGCAGCAGTGCCTAGAAGCTGCAGGCATGGATGAGGCTTGAAGTATGCTAGGCAAGGGTCAAATACAAGATAAAAGCTGGTCTGTGCTTCTACGACCTTTCCATCCTGCTGTTCATCTGACAGGAATACACTGAATAGATTTGCAAGTTAAACCTGGAAAGGATTAAAACTCACAAAAGAAAGAATTTCATTCAACTGAATTTCATTCACACAAGATGGGTACCAGATCTCAGTCATTTAAATGAGAGGAATTTCTTTCCCATTATACTTGCATATTAGCGCTCGCTCCCATGGATTTGAAATGCAATGCAGAATACATTAAAGTTGTCAAACACGTACAAGTGTTTCTTCTAAGGTCAACCAGAGAGCAAATACCGTTATAAACCTTCCAGCTACAGGGGCCCTCAGCAGCAAAGTGCCCACTACACAGCTACAATTAAAAAAACAATTGTTAAAAAACTGTGATCCCGCTGAGGAAAAGCAGATATTATGGACAGAAATCCTGCAGTATCTGGTTCTGCCTTCAGATGGAGAAATCTTCTCCCCACTTCATCAGAGATGAGATGTTATGTCCTTCCCTTTTGTCACAGCAAAAAATCCACTCTTGAGCTAGAAAGCCACCACCTTTGACTTTGCTCACTATTGCCTTCAGAGTGTTGCAATTTTGGTATCCCTGCTTTCTTTCCTGATGTCCAGCTTTGTTTCCCCTGTTTTTCCTGTTGCATTAATTGTATCTTCAAAGCCTAGATTTTGGATGGTTTCCACCCATGGTTTCCATCTCCTGACCCTGGTCCTGAATCTTGGGACAACCTGGCTTACTGAGTCTTTGCTCATTCTCCTCTAATGCTTCTCCAAAACTCACATTTCCAAAGTCCTTCCATGACTCTCTTCACTTGACTCCCTGTTCCTCAGCCTTGCCAGGGTAGCAGCACTGTGTCATCTGTTTCTTTTTCTTTATGTTCTCCATTTGTGAAGTGAAAGACTCCAGACAAAGAATATACAGCCCTCTTTTATTTGGAAAAATGTTTTATGCATTACAAGGTCAGAAAAAAACATCAACACTAACAAATAATTTCCATCCCGCTCTTGAGAGCTCCAGTGGAAAGCTCAATGACCATGATAAGACCACAAGTCAAATGAGCCCTAAAGCCACACTTGAAATCAGAAGAGTCCCACCAGGCCTTTTTTCACTGTTACACAAGAATGGGACACATGCTTGTCATCCAGTTCAATTATTTTCAGAGAGGGTATTCTCTACTGCCCTTCCAACCCAATAAAAGGAAAGGCTGAGAAAGTTCTAGCCAAAGAAAAGGATCTGAATTTCTGCTGCTGTTTAAAAAGCCCATTTTCTTTCTTGGTAATGTGTTTTTCCCTTTAGATGAAAATACTGAAGAGGCAAGTGTTACTGAAGCCACAGATTCAAGCAAAAATGTAGCCAAACCTATGCAGAACCCAAATGTCACACACCAAAACAAGGTTTTCACATATGATATCCTCAAAACCAGACTCTGTGTTCTGCTACCATACCTTGTGCAGTGGTTGCCTTTCAAGAGTTTGAGCTCTGTGGCTTTACCACAGGTTATAAACGTTCAGAAGCAAAAGAATAAGAAAAACAAATGTTCCCCATTCTCCACTTTGTACATTTTCTATGCAGTGCGCTGTGCTCAGGCTAGTTTTCCTCTCTCTCCCTGCCTCAGGAAACACTCTCCCTCTTTCTTAATGCTCCCTTTTCCAATTCCACATTTGCTGCCCAAGTCCCCAGCCCATCCTCCCTGCCAGGGCAGGCCTGAGGTTCATTTTGCTTAACTTCAGCCGTCTTCACCATCTTCTCCATCAAACTGGACATGTGGAGCCCCTTCATAGCCAGGGGAGAGAAAGCAGCACTTTCAGGGCACAGCTCATCTACCAAATTGCAGATAAGGGTGCAATGAGCCATGTCCTGTAAGTGTCTTTCTAGTGACTATGCAGGGAATTGAAATGCCTGCTTTTTGTCAGCTGGGTGGCAATCAGTCATTAAAACAGCAGTGAGTTGATGATGAAGGGGGATAATTGTGTTTAGGAAGAGGGGAGACATATTCAGTCAAGAAACATCTCGGTCAACAGAAGACACAACAACATCTTCAGGCTGCTTTGCTGGCAACTCATGGCAAAGTGAGCTTTAAAATTATATCAATGCATTAGCTAAACCACACTAATTGTCAATGTGAGCATGTAAGAGCGTTCTTCTACCACTGTAGCTGATAAAAACAGAGAAGGACATTTAAGCACTGCTTTGGAGAACTTAAGTTAGGTGTCTGCTGTCCTCTAGAGGGGTCTGCCCAGCTCCACTTCTTACAGAAGGAGCTAAAAAGGCAGGTTCCTGCTAAATTATGCTTAGCATGAGAAAGCTTAGTCCACTATCAAAGCAACTCTAGCCTTGCTGTATATGGAAATTTTTTTTTGCATTAGATTCCACTGCTTAGGTCAATGGAAAACAACTGGTTAGCGTGATTAGGTCAAGAGATAAGAGAAGTGCATTTCTCCCAAACCTAATTTTCCATGGTCCCACAAAGAGTTAATGGACAGCTCCTGCCGGTACATATTCCAGTTTATTTTACACTGTCTTTCCAACAGAGGCATCTTCTAGTACAGCAAACTCAGCAGGTATTGAACTGCCTAGTCCTTAGAATAGGACATGCCTTCTCTCCATGGCTAGGAATATTAAAACCCACCTCCTGCCCCATAAGGCTGATCTCTTCTCCATTGCTGTTTGCATTAAATCTTGTGCCTGGTAATTTCATCTGCATTGTATTTCTGTCACTTATGTTGCAGACTCATTGCTACTCAGATGACTTTGTAAGATAAGCTCTGCGTAATACGCAGTGTAGCTAACCAAAATCTCAGAGGCAAATTACCATAAACTTCAGGTCTGCACTCCAGCCCCACAGCTGGGATCTATTGCCGGCTTACAAATCCACATAGACAATAAATTACATCAAGCAGAGGGGAAAGAAGCAGGCAGAGCTGTAGCTAGCTTGTTAACGGACCCTTTGGGAATAAGTTTTGAAGTTAGAAAAAGTTCATTACCATTTCAATCCAGTTGCCGGTATCAATTCCTTCTCTTCACCCATATCAGTTTCATCTTCAAGAGACATGGTCTATTTAGAGAGCATGTGGTTTCAGACAGCAGATGAACCCCCAGGGCTGAATTAGCTTTTCAGGCACATCTGGGGAAATGTCTTCATTTTAGCATGGTTTTATTTCTTGGTGTCTCTGGGGAGAGGCTCTCTTCATCTCTGAACTGGGCAGGTGTGTGAAGCGCCTGGTTTCTTCCACTCCTTCTACCCAGATCTTCAGAACAGCCGGTTTCCTACTGATCCCGTCTTACCACCTTTGTATTTAGGGGAAAATTGTCCTATTTTTGCACCTTGTCACCTTAACTGACATCAGAATAATGTCAGCGCCGGTGACACACAGCCACATGACAGAGGAAATTCTGAGTTTAGGTTATTGTGGCATGACTCACTGTCTGTGTTTATCTACTACTAAAAATACCTGTTATAAATTTGCTTTTCACTTCTTCTGGACAAAAGGTGTTGTTCTGATGCCTTGTCTAACGCTGCTCTGCCAACTCAGACATGGAAGAGAAATAGCTAGGAGAGCTTCATAAATCCTAATACTGCCAGCATGTCTACTATGAGCAGTCTTGTGTTGGGTCGGTAACGTATCTGAATGGGAAACCTCAGGGAAAAAACCCAAGCACTGAAAGAACTGATGGTGATTTAGCTAGTGGGTTTCTTTCCCCTAATGCTAGATGCTGAGGGTAACCAAAGGCAGTTAAGCTTTATTCGGCACAGGGCAATGAACTCACAAAAGGCAGGGCATGGCAGGGTATTCTGCCTGGCACCAGCCTCCAGTAACTCCTATGTTATATCTGACAGCTTGTGTGGAGGTCCCAGATGCCCTAAGAGGTCTCAAATGGCATCAGGCACCGTTGCTTAAGCAGGAACAGCTACCTGTCTTGTGGCTTGGATGACAAGGCTTGCAGGTCTCAAAAAACACATCAAACTTAATTTTGGGAGCACACCAGAAGACGCAATAACTACTTTTTAATTTTTTATGTTTCACAGATATCTATCATCTGAACTCGGTAGTCTTCTTCTAATTCCAAGGGTGTGTCTCCATCCACTGTATGATAATATTTGAAACCAGTTCCAAAATTTCCAGAAATGCACCAAAAATCCACTAATATGGGGAGAAATGCGGATTCCCAGCTGCCTTAGGAGAGCTACATGTTCTAGCAATTCTGCAACCAATGGCAGTGCTAAATCCCACGAACACCGACCTCTCTGTTCGGCTCGTTTCAATACATCATGTTAGTACCCCTAAGTGCAAAGAAATGGAGCACTTTTGGGATGTAGGAGATGAGAATTGTAGGTGGGGTCTGGTGAAGCTTGTGAATGAAGGAAAGGAAGGACAGAGGACATAAGGACTGAAAGAGAAGGAAATAAGGATACACAGCACCTTGTCCTGAGGATGGAGAATTGGAGGATGTGGGGAGGGAAAATAAGGAGGTGAACAAAATCCCAAGAGATCTGAAGGTGACATGGGGGCAGTCTTTTAAACCAATGCTAGCAGGAGCGTAGCCCTGGAGCAGCCACAGAGGGATGCAGAATCCAGAGGGAAGTTGGGCTGTGCCAAACTGGGCCACCAGAGGTTATGAGGCAGGTTACGCTTAGGCGTGCTGGCCTTTTATGAGATTTATATTTTCATATCACACCAACTCAAACAAATTGGCAGACTAATTCCCAACCAGGTGCAAAACAGCAAAAAATGCAAAGTTAATCTCCCCCCAAAAATGTAAAAAATTAGGAATCTACTCAAGGAGTAAATCTACACTGCCATTCCCTAGTTCCCTGGCTTCTTCCCATCCCTTGGCTCTTTTATCACCCACACGGCAGGGATGTTGATTTTTTAGGAGAAAACCATGCAGTTTCCTTGGGCACAAAGACTGAATGAAGTTCTAGGGATGATTCACTCCAGAGGTCGTTCTGTGTGGGCAATATGGTCCAGACCTCACCAGGTCTTATCCCTCTCTGCACAGTCTTCCCACACTATGCCAGGAGGTCCAGTGCCATGAAAGACTCCTGCACACCTATATACCACCACCTATGGCCTCTGCAGCTTTGGGGATACGTATCCTTCCCAGCTGGGAGTTTGAATACAGCAATTCACTTGAACCTGTGGTGCTGCTAAATGTCAAAGCACTGGGAGCTCTTCTGGGCCAAACTATAGCTTCCATTCTCAGACAGACTTCACTGACCATGTAGTCATTGTCAAGAGTTATTAGCATGTCTACAGCCACAATGCCTGGAGTCCTGGCTGATAATTAGGACTCGTTTGTATAAGTGTGGTACAAATAGCTGACCAACACCAGAAATGTAGGATCCAAATGTAAGGCAAGAAAGTGCAGAAGTAATACTGATCAGCATGTTGGGTGCCTACTTGTTCTTGAAAGATGAGTAAAAGACCACTTAAAGACAAGCACCTCTGAAGATATATGAGATACTTAAAGACAATGAAGAGGAATAATGGCAATGGCTATCTAGAAACATCCATATTCACGCACGACTCCTCCCAGTGTGAGGACTGGTACAACAATAAACCCAAAAGCTGATGACTTCAATATCAAACACGTTGATGAGGAGGTCTAGCAGGGGAAGGGAAGCCAATGTTTTGAAAGGATATGACGGTGGATAAGGAGAAGGTTCTTGAAAATTGGAGCAAAATATTTGAAGTGACAGTGAAGCAGTTGGAGGTCCACAGAGGGAAGCAAACAGGTCACAAGGAGACCTAGGAAATTCTTCTTTCCAAATGGGTCAGAGAACAGGAATATGGTTGTAAAGGCCAAAGAAGTAGATACTACAGTGGTTTAGATGTGAGTAGACAATAATTTGAGTGATGTGGATGAAATTAATAGGTTGGATCCTAGAAGTGTTGCATGAGATCCAGCTGCAACGTGGATATGTTGATCCAAGAGCATCAGCCTGATGGGTATTGCTCGCTGTCACCCGTGTGCGCCATTTCTGCACAATCCTTATCAGACGCGTGCAAGTTCAGAAGAACCCGAACTTTATTTGATCATCGATTAAAACAACAGTCGCCCTTTACAATGAGTAGGCTAAATGCTGTGGGTTTTCTTAAGAAGAGACTAAAGAGTTGTAGGTTTGAGTGCCTTGTGCTGAGATTCAGATCTACAGTGTGCTTCAAAGAGGCTTTTGAAGTCTTGAGGGAAACATGCTTTTAGCTTTCAGGGAAAGTGAGAGTACATGATCTCAACTTGCTGCTAATCTGATAACTCTTTAATTTTAATCACCCTGACAGTCTGTGGTAAACCATGTGGTTAACTATTTCGGGTACAGTCGCTTCTCTCTAAGCCACAGTCTGATGTAGTTTACAAGGCGAATCCTTTGATAACACAAAGATACAAGGGGATTAAAACATCCCTTACACAGCTTAGCTGTGAAGCCACTCACAACACTTTTGATTGTTGCCTTCCTCCAACTGTGTGACTTTTACTAAGTGGCAAGATACTGAAAAGTAAAAAGGGCAGAAAACATCAAAGTGAGAAAATGACGGGTGGCTCTGAACGAAAAGGGCATTGCAGGAGTGGATCTGGGAGTCGCTGACTGGGTTGCTGTTGGCAAGGGATGGCTTTGTTTCAAGGAGAAGGCACTTTGGGAGTCAAGGGCAGACGCCAAATGATGGACAACTATCAGGGATTCAAGGCCCTTTCGCAGTCGTTCTTGCTGTTTGCTAAGGCTGCATTAATTATGGTTGCAGAAAATGTGAAGACATGATGACTAAGAAATTTTACTCATAATAGCTGTTACTGTTCTGCATAAGCATAAAGGGCCACAGATCATGCACCCAAGGATCTTGAATGCCAGCCCTGATGCGACCAGCCTGTTTTATCTTTGAATTTCTCAGCCTTTAGGCCTTAAATAATCATTAAGTAGTGCCTTTATCAGCTTCTAGGTCTCCAGCTCAGCTTCAGTGAGCTTTTCAAGTGCACTGAAATGATCTGACTTAATTCATTCCAACTGATTGAGAAGTATATTTAGATCTGATTTGCTGATGACACAGCACTTCACGTCCTTGTTTTGGGACAAGTTATATTTAGGTTTGCAAACTTGTTTCACAGTAAGCTGCTCTTTGGTGTGCTCAGACAGAACTGAGAGTCTACTCCCCTTTCCAGTGTTTGTTTATAGATGACTGCAACTTTTAATGGCTTAGTTTTGCTTATTATGCCTCACTCCATAGATTCAGGGCCGTACGCTCTGGTGCAGGCAGCAGCTCTGCAATGTGACTGCGTGCTGCTTCAGTAAGAAAATGTTGATAGTGTTTCGTGTTGCCCACCTGCTGGGTGCAGAAAGAAAGGGCTCAAAAGCCTGCTTCAGGCAGGACGGGGACAGGAGCAGGCAGGTAGGTGCCTGCCACCACTCCCAGCTGCAGAACACCTTTGCTCCAGCATCCTTTCTCCTCTAGAAGAAATACAAGGGAGTTGAATCAGCCCCTCCTAATTAAAACAGTGTAGACAAATACATGCTTCATGTCACTTGGTGGAGACATGCCCAAGGGATTTTTCGGCATCCTGAACAAATCTATACTTATGAAATCAATGGTAACAACTAACTCCAGTGTGAAGAAGGCTTTGGATGACGGGATTGTTCTAAAATTAAAATTAAAAAAGTTCACTGAAAAAACTAGTAGCTTCGCCAGACACTCAGAGCCTCTCCTTGGCTTAGAGACAACCAAAGAAATAAAGCTTTGCTACCCTCGCGTTCCCTTCATGACATCCAGTTTCATCCCTCAGCTGTGATTTTAGCCCTGTGGCTGGGAGCAGAATTAGGCTTACTTCACTGAGCTCTGGGCATGATCTGGTACTGATAAGACAGAAAGCTGTGGGAAGTCCTCGGTGAATAAGGTTGATGCACAGGCTGTCCTGATTCTCAGGCTTTCTGTTTGCAGAACAATGTCCACCTCTTCCAAGGACTGAGTTTGCTGATGTTACTGCTGAAACGTATCCAGTGGGGACCAAACTGTATTATGAATGTGACAGTGGCTATGCGAGAAGAAGTGGACAGTACTCGGGAATTCGGTGTCAGAGGAAAGAGCAGGTTGCTTCTTGGCTCTACAAGGAATTTGAATGCATTGGTAAGTGATTAATTAAACACTTGTAGAGGTGTTTTTCCAATGACCTAATCAGTATAAGACGTATCTGGGCATTGCTCTAACAAATGATCTTTTGCACTTATTTTTGCAAATTAGAACTTGCAACAGTTCTATCCTGCCTCTAAAAGTCTGGGTGCTCTGGCTTTGCTCTGCTATTCATCCTGCTGTAATTCAGCAAATGTAACTTCTCCCACAGATGAGAGAATTTTGTTGTCAACGGCTCCCACAGAGGAGTTAGATGTTACGCAGAAGCCAGAAAGAAAAACACAGAGCCCTGCACCCCACAAGCAAGAAAACCTTTCAGAGTTTGACCAGAAAGGTAAGAGTGAGCCCATTCATCACTGTAGCATTTCTTCTACTGATTTCCATGGAAGCAGTGTAAGATGATGAGTAACTTCTAATTATTTTGACAGAGAGAGAGAAAGAAACAATCTCGGCTGAACACGCGATATGGTGTAAGCAAATGAGTATTTTATATCCTAACAAAGAATTAGGAAGGCTTGGTATATCCTGCTTGTCTATATTTTGTAAGGATACATATCATGTTGTTTCAAGAACACAAGCAGTAGGTAAAATCTATCTGCTTTAACCATGTGCTGCCTTGTGATCCCACAGATTTTTGTGGTCCTCCGAAGGCTATTCCGCATGCTTACTTAAGCCTGAACAAACAGTATTACGTGGGACAAGTATTACATTTCAAATGCCAGAGTGCTTATGACAGACAACCCCCCACCTCTGGCACCCTCAGGTGCAAGAAGGTGAATGGCAAAATCATCTGGACCCCCCTTGACACGCGATGCACCAATGACAGCCACAAGCGGCCACCACAGACTATTGAGCCAGGTAAGATGGTTACTTCGGTATCACTGGTTCATGCAGGGTCCAAACCCCTCAACTCAGCGCATCAATCCTAGGGAACAACCTGCTTGGGGTTCAGGATGGAGACACTGGGGACCTCAGGGCTCCAACACTGATGGAGGTGTTATCTCTGACTGGTGGAGATGACATCTCTGGGGAGGACATAGCTGCATCCTACTTTATCTTGGGTGTCCTTTCACACTAACTGCAAAATTGCAGGAATTTGTGAGCAGGTAGAGCCACACTGTCATATACTGGGAAGGAAAAAGTAGAACAAGCCTTTCTCCTTTTCCTTCCTCCTGGCTATAGGTCATCTATTGTCCCTTCACAGTAAGGTACTCCAACAGGTACAGCTAAGCATCCCTCATGATTGCTCAGGGGTTTAGGATCCAGAATTTAGCTAGTCCATAGCTAAACCTGAGTAATGAGGCTCAATTCTTAATTTAACACGCAGGATGTCGTTTTGAACAAAGAGACAGCAAGAAGCCCACCAATATTGCACTGTAGTCTTTATTTTTTTTTCAGCAGGACATGCACCACTGTGGTCTGGCATCTTGAGTTTCACTGCTCAGGGAGCCAGCAGGGCTCTCAAGCGAGGTTGCAGAACCTCTGCTTCTTGCTTTTATACCCTTAGATGTGGTAATGCTGAAACAAAAAAGACCTTTGTGGCCTCTACTCCACCCAAATTACCTACCTTTTCTGAAGGCATCTCTCCTAACTCCACAATGCAGGAGTTCAATATGCAGAGAGAAAACAGAGCCCCTTTCCCAAGCGTCTGTAATAGCACTGAGGGTCTGGGGCTCTCTCTGGGTGTCAGGCAGAGCTATTGAAAGTGGAATGACGCAGCTGTCCACCACCTCTACAGTAGTCTTCAGGCTTTCATGACCCTCCCAACCTACTCTGAGGCAGGAGAGTGCAATGGGATGAATTTCAAAGAAGTGAGAGCCAATGCAAGGTTAATATGAGAGGACTTTTCCTACCAAGAGTGGAAAAAACTGGTTTTCACCAGTACTTGGGCCTTTAAGGGGAAATTAATCTTGCAGAACTGTAGTTATCTGCTGTACGGATGCCTACCTCTGAGTTGGACTGCCTTTATAACTGACAGAGGGGAATAGGTGTTGATGGTGCTATGTTAGGTGCCCTATTTCATGTCTATTTTATCGTGAGATGAACTGCACTTTTTAAAGCCTTGTTTCTCCCCAATTACTATAGCAGAGCCCACATGAGTATCTCAGAGGCCACATCTATGTAACAGTAGGTGAGAATGCCAGCCCTTGTGACTCGTACCAGGCTATGGGGTAGAGCAGGATGGTTTGGGCAGGCCTGTTTTTCTGCAGAGAGACCTCTCAGGTGACACTTGGCCATCATTGCCTCTCATTGCTGCTCTGACTGTAAGAATGAATCACCTTACTGGACACTCTATTTCAGCATTAACCCAGGGCTTTCTCCCCTTCTTCATAGATCCACCTGTTTCCCTGTGGTGCCCAGTTCAGAGTGTTCCAGGTACAGCAGTAACAATTTGTTGTTTGGTCTTTCCTCCTCCTTCACGATGGTTATTTTTTTTTTCCATTGATAATTTCACTTGGTACTATCAAGATGAAGGAACTTCTTGCTACGGTGGAAATAACCCATCAACATACTAGTCTTAGAAAATGATGCAACCTATTGCTATTGGAATAATGTCCCCAGGGAAGTGGTGGATTCCTCAACTTTGGACACTTTTAAGATCTGGCTGGACAGAGTGCTGGACCATCTTGTCTAGACCACCAAGAAAGGTTGGACCAGATGATCCTTGAGGTCCGTTCCAACCTGGTAGTCTATGATTCTATGATTCTATTGACTAGTCAGAGACTACAAATATTTGAAATTTTAATATTAGGATTATGAAAAACGCGAGACTGGATGATGAAACAGGCCATCTCAGCCTTTCATTCAACAGAACAATAAATCCAGTTTCCTGCAAAAATACACTCAAACCTGAGCAAGGCCAGGTCTTTGTAATTAGTGCACCAAATATTTATTCCCCCAAAGTGCTGCCTTTCTCTTTGTTATGATGTGATGTCTTTAATGGGGCTGGATAAGGAATATGCTCCCCTTCCTCGGTTCTTCCCCCCCAACATTCAGCATGAAGAGATTTATCAAGAGACCACTCTTACCAGACCTCCTGTTAAAAACATGTCCATACCTCATACTGGCTCAAGTTCAGAGCTTCCTTTTCAGGATAAGGGAGAAATTTGATTAATTTCTTGCACCAGGGAAGTTTTGACTTACATTTCTGAGGAAAAAGAGGTCCTGTTTGAAGCCATGTTTCCAAACCCTAGCTCAGCACCTTGGAAGTCATCCTTCCCGATCGCATATGAAGTAAAGATCTTATCTGTATCCCATTCCTTGGAAGATACAGTTCACTTCATGCCCACCATTATCAGATATCAGATCGGCACATATGTTGATATCCAGGCTGGAAACATCTACTGATGGCCAAGAAACAAATATGGCAATTATTAAGTCTCTGTGCAGCGGGAGAGCTGTCAGACTCTACCCTCATCACTGCTTCTATGCCAGAATGAGATGGCTCTTTGCCTGACTCTATCCTCATCACTGATTTGATGATCTTCTCCAGAAGAGCAACTCAGTACTAAAATAAAGAATTTCTCTCTCTCCATAGGTTCGACTCATCCATCCTTTTCCTCATCTGTGATACTGCCAGTGGCAGGTATGCCATTTTGTTAACTGGACTCAGGCTTCACTCCATCCCCCAGAGCAGTTACTTTGCCTTTCAATTTGCTGTTCTAAGGAAGAGATTCATCCCTGTTATAAAAGCTAATAAATATACAGCAAGACACATCTGTTGGTATTGGGTGAGAAGTCAGTAAAGAACGTGTAAACAGACAGTTTAAGCACTTAAGCTTTTTATAAAGAAGTTTTCAAAGACTCATAAGGGATGTAAAAGAAAATAGATCAACTAAAAGTCTAGTTTTTAAACGAAGTGATTTCCAGATTCTTTCTCTGAGACTTTCTGTGAATTCAGTGAATAACTTCAACTGGAAAAAACCAGTAAAAAATGCAAATATTTAAATGATGTGTTTCTCTCACATTTTCAAAGGAGTAAAAAAAGATGGGCAAATAAAATATTTCCTCACAGCTAAACTGATGCATTTAGATCAGTCTGAAGAGATTTCTTTTCTCCACCTTCCCCATCTTCCATTCAGCCATTAGCTGCTAAAATAGAAATTGCCTCTTACTGTGCATATGCTCAAGACTTTGTATAAGGGCTCCTGATTCCAGCTGGAGTCTGCTGACAACTGTAGCACATATTATAATAGGGAGGAATAATGGAGTGAGATAAAGGAAGGGAAGGAGGAGTATTGCAAACCGTGCCAGAGACTGCAGCATCAGTAGTCCCTGGTTATTTGTTGGTGGTCAATCTCTAGTTGCCCAGGTCCCCTCTGTCTGGGTCCTGTTTGCCCCAGAGAGCAAAGCAATGGGGCAACATGGAAGAACTCTTGCCTCTGGGCATAGGGGCGAGATGATACCTTATCCCAGGTCTCACCTGTTTCTCCCAGTTGGAGTAACTGCAATAATTAAGATAACACCAGGTGCTGACGGTGTTGATTTTGTGTTTTAACAGCTATCTTTTTTGTCCTGCTTATCATCCCTGCCGTCTTTGTGTGACTCACCAAGCAGAGAATACGGTAAGTGGGACAGAACCAGGAAAATGCAAAATCTAAAAAAAGTCCCTAGCAGTGGATGAGGTATCAACTGGATCACCCGTCCCACTGTCGCACTGCTTCGATTTCTGAATACCTTCTTTGGTATTAAATAAATGACCCTGGATTTTGGGTTATCTGGTTCAGCTACTAAATACTGAACAAGAAAAGGAGGAATTGGAGCTTTTGAAATGAAAAAATCATGCTTTGTTCCGGCCACTGTGGAACTGAGAATGGCAGTTCAAATAATGAGCGGAAAATGAATCCCATGGGGAAATTAAGGTTAATTATGCAAATATGTTAGTTTCAGAGAGATTACGCAATCAGTCTTTTTCTCTCTGGCTAACCTGTGGGAAGTCTGGTGGAGCATCTGCCACCACGACCACGTAATTCTTCTTCCTTCTTCCCCCTGATTTCTCAGTCAAGTCATGACAACTTTGTACTTCAGACTTATTTTAGTCTGGCCTCCTCACTGTTTCTATTACTACACTGAGATACACCGAGGCTGTTCCTGTTCACAGGCTCCCCAGCCTCGTTAATCCAAGATGTCCCTATTTGACATTTGGGAGTTCTCCTTCTCTCCTCGTTCTTTGCTAATCCTCATCCCCTCTTCCTTACTAATTACCAATGGGCTCTGCTTCTCAGATGAGTGGGTTTTTTTCTCAAAAAGGAGGAGGGAAGGACCTTGTGAAACCACATCAACAGTGCTTTTTCGCTAGTTCGCAATAGGATAAAGCCACAGAAAGTGTAGACAATGCTTTGAAACATCTTTTAGTGAAGACGGTCAACCATGGTCCAGATTGCCTGGGCCATTGTGGGATTTCTGAGAATACGATCGGTAAAAAATTTGTCAAGAATGATCTACGTTTCACTGGCCCTATGGTGGAACAAGTGATGAAACAGCTGATACCAGATGAAATAGTAACTGAGATCCTAGGTGGTGTCTTCTGCAAAAAGCACTGTGTCATTTCTCATACTAAATATAGAAGAAGCCGTAGAAAACTTGCCCCTTCCCAACTGTAGTAAAGTCTTTTTTCCTGCTGTAGAGAAGACTCCTCAGGGAATTGCAGCGTTCAGACCCAAGTTCATGAAATCGATGGCTTACCACAGAAGAAACCAGATTGTACCAGCGACTGTAAGACCAGCAGTGGCAAACGAGGAGGAAACCTGGACACTCAAATCCAACGTGTGAAGGTGGCAGAAAATATTACGGCTTCATTCTTATGGGGACAGAGTGACTTAACAGAGTATGGGTGGAGGGAGTGCACCCCATCATTGACAGATGGGGAAAGAGCCCTGCCTGAAACTGCTTCCCAAAACCACTTCTCCTCCTCCTACTATATAGCAGATGTATTGCTAATATAACTGCAGCCTCTCCCAAGCGACCAGGCGTATATATGGACCACTCACCCAAGCACCGTTGTTACAGCCCACACACCACCTTCCCCACAAAGAGAGATGCTGGACACCTCATGCCCCCATCCCTTCCCTACCCGGATGGGTCAAATGCAGCCACGCTTTTCTCCTCCTCACACTGATCCTCCTGGAAAAGAAAATTAAACCTATTTACCCTCTGTACATAAGCTGAAAATCGTACTGGACTCCCTCATGGTTCAGTATACACATGCATCCGTCATCACCTTCCTCTTCCCAATTATTTTAGACTAGCCCCTTCCACAACAGTTACTACATTATTCCTCCAGCTCAGAAAAGGATGCTGCAGATTGTGGCAGTTGATTAATTTGACAGCTCCTTTCGTAGCTGCAGTGCACCAAAGAACCTAGTGCAAAGGCATTTGAGGACAGACTCAAGCATACACAGTACTTGACATATATTATTGGGAATTCATGAAGTTTGAATAGTCTTCTGCCTCTTTTTAGCCACGCTCAGCCTGGTAGGATGGGGTTGATCTGAAAAATGAATGCGTCTATGTCTAAGGCAGACAACGGTAAGCAACAAGTCCCTTTAGAGAGCAGTTAATCTCAGCCTATTGCCTATATATATGTCTATGGGTATATTTACTTATGCCACATATGTATGCACACACACACACATGTATTTACAGGCCGAATGACTCATGGTCTAAAGGTTCCTATTTCTCTGCATTGACTCTAAACAATGACTAGATTAGCTATAGATGCATACATGGCATATGTCAACAGCAAAATGGGATTAATCCTTCCCTTTTAATTCAGGAGGCATGAGGCCTTAGTGTAGTTTTCTATTTTGTGATAGAGTATGTATCATTATTTTACTGGTTTGTATTCCTGTTGAGTTATTCTCACTCCGTAGCCTTGATATTTATACTTCCCATGGCTTTTTTTATTCCTGTTGGAATAGGACTAACTTGTACTACGTATCTTTATAAAGATGGATATGTAATGGTCTATTACATGCTGTTATTTTATATAGGGGCAAACAACAATCTGTATTTACACAATAGATGACAGGTTTTCACACCTGTCAGCCGCTCTGAAGGCTGCAAGCAGTGGTACTAAGCTCTTCTTCTTCATTTGGTTGATGCACGATACTTGCTGCTAACAGAGCTCTGTGAAGCACTGCAGTTAGGCTGGCATGGCTTGTCCTGCTCAGGGCATTTCACTGGAGAAGGCTAATATTTCATCTACTCCTAGCATGCCCATTTTTATGCAGATAACAAGAGCAGTGTCATATGTCTCCTACTGCTCCAGTGGTTTTTCCTCCTTCCCCTAGCCAGCTTGGCTCGGGGGCTCTCTCTCCACATTTTGTCTTTGTTTCTTGGAAATTAAGGGAGTCACACTGCTGGTAAGGGACCTGTAAGCAATAGTGGATTACAGACTGAACAGCTATTATGGGGTTTAATTTTCCTAGCTATTAATGTCTACATAGAGTGTCTGAACCCAGGTCACCTCCAGCACGGGAGCTGTATACGTACTTTATCAGGAAGCTGTACCTCTCAGTTGAGCTGTACTTCACCTCTCCGTAGGGCTTGTTTGCCCTCAGGGGAAATGTTTGCATCTGAGGCTTGAGACTTCAATACCACAAGCAGAGAGCAAGTAGAAATCAGTAGGACCCGGCCTGGGAGCATAAGGCCACCACCGAAGAGGCTGTGGCCAAAGGGGCACCGTCGCTGTGGTGCTTTCTCCGTGGCCGCTCTCGCTTGTTTTACACGAGGTGTGGTGGGTTGATATTTTTATTTTGTAGACTTTGATTTTCTCAGCATGGAACAACTAATAAACTATAACAATAAATTGTTCTGGATGTTTGAAAGGCAGCTTGTTCTTCTTGCTGTTGATCTAAAGTTTGAGAAATATGTGACTTTTTTTTCCATTACCCTCTCATTTTAACAAAAGGTATGACAAACTCAGGAATGTGTCACAGGAAGGTTTATTCTAAAGACCCATGCTACATACAGCTCACATCACACATGTACTATCACGGCTAACCTTAAAATGCAGGAGGAAACTAAAAATATTTGCACAAGAAGATCCCGGGAAACGATGTCTCAAAAATAGATAATGGAAGCAATCTAAGGGCAGTGGAGCTCCCTTAACCCTAACCCTCCCCAAGGGGTGGAAATACACATACTCCTGTACCATGGCCAGGAACCCAAGTGTAAGTAAAAGTGTTTTTCCAGAAGTCCGCAGTGTAAGAGTCAACCTGCACATTGCAATGCGTCATCGTGTGTGCCTTCATATAGGTGTCTCCATGCGAGCTGGTCTCATCACGGTGGAGATAACGTGAGTCTAGAGACACTCATCTGTCAAATGCAGGTGTCCACCCAGGCTGAATAGTTTTCCAGACCCCCATGGACCCCATCAGCCATTGACTCCATTGACTCTACTGGGAGCTCAGACAGCAGCTCGCATGGTAACACCTACATATTGATCTGGTTGCCGAAAGACAGGGATCTGCTGTGATCTGAGACAGGGGTGTTGGAAATATCTACATAGGGCTTGAACCTAGAACACAGGACCTAAGGGAGGCCTGTCCTCCCCTGCACTGGTAGCTGGAAGCTAAGCAGCATGATTTGTTTGTGCCCAGCCTGCAGAATTACCCCCATCTACTTTATGACGTCCCAGTAGGTGAGTCAGATCCCAGCCCTAGAAGTCACGAAGACTTGCAGAATCTGTCACTCACCTCTGTGAATGCATCGCTGAAGAAACCTGATAAATACATTTCCTGCCACCGTAAGACAAAAGAATTTCTTAAGTTTAACTTTAAGCATGTTTTCTGATTGGAACGACAAATAAAACCCAATAATAGGTGGGGACCTTATGCACAAGTACTGTTCAGTGGCCAAAAATGGCCCGTGTCTCAGACAATTTAGGCAGTAGATATAAAGCAAGGTTCAGGAGGAGTGCAAGGAGGCAGTGAAACAGTACAGATCTGCCTCTCAGTCACAGCCTTAGCACTGCAGCTACCTGCACATTTTCTAGATTTGTTTTTACTTTTTCTGTAGGAATAACAGCATGGCAGGGCAAATATGTGCTCACCCGGGGAGTATAAAGGCATGTAAGCAAAGACTTCAGGACTCCAGCAAGCACCAGCTCCACCAGTCATTTCCAGGTCTCTAGTTCTCTACTTATTTTCTTCTCCAGTCTTTCTGCAGAAGAAATTCAGGGAAGATATTCCCTAACTAGATTTCATTTTTAAAGCTGTGGCTTTCATACCCATACCAAATATGACCCTTTCTGTCAAGAGACTCCAGAGGTGTCATCCCAACGGTGAGGAGGTCGGTGTGGGAGGAGGGTGCAGTCCATAGCTGCAGGGCAAAATGCTGCTGCATAAATAGTTTGGGCCTTTTTGCAAGAAACGAAACTGGTTCTTCGACCCTGCCAACAGCTTCCACCTTCCCCTGTCTTCCAAATGCAGCCTGTTCAACCCCCTGATGTACTGCCAGGACCCAGCAACGGCCAAGGAGTCGAGCAGGGACGAGGGCTCCCAGGTCAATGTTCAGAGCCCGATGATCCTCAGAGAGGCTCC